GGGAACTCTCCCGTTTGCTGCACTCGGGGAGCCCCAAACCAAGATGGGTCCTGGGCAGAGCCTCCCCCACTCCTCGAGGCTCCGCCCTGCGCCCGTGGGGAGATGCAAAAGCACCCGATGKGAGAATTCCACTGGATYCCGGGGSAATTTCCCMCAGGGATCTGTACAGACTCCTTCTGTCCATGTGTGTGTGTGTGAAGGTCAATCTGCCATAGCAAATGTCATGGGAATGCTGCTYTCTTTGAGTCTGAAGTACCTTAGATTGGTAAGTCAGTCAGGCCTGTGAATAAGTTCCTCTTATGGTAAATTCTATGTGAAGTTATTTAACAAGTTACAGTTAAGTGCTGATAAGTTTAACTTAAGTGCTGTTGGGTCTATGAGCATAAACTGTTGATCAAGTCCAGGCTCAGTTCAGCACAGGGGTTTACTCTGACCCTTGTAGACTCAACTGTAGGGTCTTCCAAATTCCTTTTCATCCTTAACTTTTTCTTTTTCTCTCTTCTGCTCTTCTGATTGTCCCCAGCATCAAAAAAAAAAATGTGTTTGGGTTTATTTCCATTTGAATTGATTGATTTTTTTATTTTTGTTTGCTGTTTAAGCTTCCAGTAAGTGGCAGAGTGAACCTTGCCAAGGCACTTTTTCATAGTGTCGTTTTAATATGAGGCCTGTTTTTCCTGATAGATTGGCTGGTAATTTAATTCTTTAAAAGGTAATTTAATTCTTTAAATTACCTTAAAACACTAGATCCCAAGGGAAGAACAGCTCTGCAGACACCCAGGGCAGTGCAGAAGGAGCTGCTTCAGGCACCCCTCACCTGGATCCCACCTGCGCCTCATCTGCGCCCTCCGTGCATTCCGCAGGTAACCGGGGAAGAGGAACTYGGCCCAAATATCTTGGGCTATCCCTGGGACTCCTTTTGGGCAGAGTAGGATATTTTTAGCTTGYAGGACTTCAAGGCTGAGCCGCAAATGTCCCTTGGTGGGATATTGGGGGTCTCTGGAGATTACATTTCTTTGGGGCGAGTGCGGTGGGCGAGGAGCGGGGTCCCCGGGGCGTGCGGGGATCGCCCGGTACTGGCGGGGTTGGGGGGTGCTGACGGGGGTCCACACTCAAACCCCAACCACAAACACTACAATATGATACTGAAGTCTTGCCATTGTTCCACGGGACAGAATGAGAGCAGTTTCAAGCTGATCAAAATTTTGCGTGAGTAATGAACTGGAYTGAATATACCTTGCAATCATGGTATTTTCTTATACAGAGAAACAAGGCCCAAAAGGATCTAATGAGAAATAATGAACTGCTTTGGTGATCAATATTTGAAATGTCTATTCCCACACAGCACTAGATACAAYGGACCACACAAACTGATTTATGCTGACTTATAGACAAATAATTAATTATAACAGTAATATCCAAATTACATATAAAGTTGTAGTAATGCTTGTAATCTTTGGAGAAAACTCTCCTTTTGTGCCTGAATATTGGTTACCAAGTTTCACTGGGATTTGTAGTGACAAACAGAACTGATAATCCACATTTATGCAGCACAGTGTCAAACAATGTTTTTGGAGACAGGGATCATAATAACCTTCTTCCTTCCAGATGTTTATTGAAACAGGACTGCAACAAATGCATATTGTCACAAATGATGAACAAACCATGCAAATGTACAACTTAATTATTCCTTTTAGGGTGCTTAGGAAATGCTACACATCTAGTTTGGCAAAATCAGACATATTTATTTTGGCCTGACGTAAATGAGCAAGTAACTATGCATTGGTGTCCAAATATCTAAACATTTCTACAGATGTATAAACTTAAAACCTTGTTAAAGACCCCAGAACATATGAAAAAATTATTTGTCAATATGAAATAAAAACTCTAGCAGAATGTCAAATGAATACTGTCATCATAGGAGACAAACTGCTATCATTGTCTGGCCAAATTGAATGGGAAACTGTCCATCATTAGTGGGACAYTTTTTCTGGACATTCAACCACCAAAGCATTAAACATATTGGTACACCCTATCTTAATTGTGTTTATAATAATCATACTAATGACAACATTTAATTGCTTTATTTGGTATAAAGTAAGATTGATAGACAGAACCTCTGTGCCATATTGRTGAACTTGATGTTACACAGAGCTACCAAATCATCTGGTAGATAGGCCCTGTGTGGAGGCTGAACCAAAGATGACCACTGTGTGAACTTGCAAACATATGTACTTTTTCAAAACAAAAGATGYAATTTTTGGAAAACAGGGGATTTCCCTATTACTGGGAGGGTTTCCCCAGTCCTTTGCTGAAATTAGGCTCCCCAGCTGAAGCAGGGACCAGGGTGATGGTAACCAGGTATTAGGGTAATTGGTGATGTATCTTTTCTTAATTGCTTGTAGTCTGTAGTAATAACTTGATGCRCTGCCTTTCTATGCTTATTTCTGTTACCTTATAGCTTATTCCTACATTTGTTTGTTATTTGTTTATCATTTATGTAATGAACAGGCTTATCTCTAAGTACATCATTGTTTTGTTCGGATCCCTTCACTAACCACATTMATAACCAAAACCAGCCTCCCCAACCAAAACCCAATACAGCCTCTGGCCACACAAACCCAATACACTGCCTAATGTGAAATACCTGGAATGGATCACCACAATCACCTGCTCTCTGCCCTGTGCAGGTCACTRTGGATCATTCAATGTGGGTCCTSCAATKGTTGATGAAGTTKGAGCAGCAGATGATGCTCTGCTCAYAGTTGGAGTAYTCATAGGGCTTCCCTTACTGGTGGGTCTGTTGGTGTGAGGTCAGGACAGAGCTGCAAGAAAAGCTCCTCCCACACTCAGGACCCTTGTAGGSCCTCTCTCCAGAGTGGATGTTCTGGTGGTGGATCAGGTTGAAGCAGTCACTGAAACCTTTTCCACATTCCCTACACTTGTAGGGCTGTTCCTCCGTGTGGATGATCCGATGGCGGATCAGGCAGGAACTCCACCTGAAGCTCTTCCCACATTCCATGCACTGGTGGGGCCCTTCCCCAGCGTGGGTCTTCTGGTGGTGGATCAGGTGGGAGTGGAGGATGAAGCACTTACCGCATTCCAAGCACTGGTAGGACCGTTCCCTAGTGTGGATCTTCTGGTGGCAGATCAGGCTGGAGCTCTGGCTGAAGCTCTTTCCACATTCCAAGCACTGGTAGGGCTTCTCCTTGGGATGAAGCTGCTGCTGGACCATCAGCTCGGAGGTCCAGAGGCTTTCCTGGCACTGGGGGGGACTTGCCTCCTCAGATCTCCCTGGACTGGGTTTGCAGCCCCTCCTCGTGTGGGATCTCTGTGGCTTTTCCTCCTTGTTGAATTCCTGCACCATAGAGCTGCTCAAAATAGCCTCTTCCACGAGGTTCTGCCGGGAGGATTTGTCCTTCCTGGTCTCTGTCTGCAGCTCAGTGCCTGGGGGAGGAAGGACAAGTAGAAGGAAGTATTTACCTCCGTGCCAGAGGGAAGGGGAAGGAGATTCCCCCCAGTCCGTCCCCGGCAGGATGGCATCAGCAATGGGGTTTTCCTGCAGACAGGGGTGATGCTGGGCTGGCAGATGGAGCAGAAGAGAGGGAGAAATGGCCAGTGACTTCCTCCTCACCTGCCTGGGTCTCCYGGGGCATCTTCCTCTTCCTCACAGCCTTCTCCTCCACCTGTTCAAGGTTGAAGAATGAACAGTCCTGTTTTGGGGGAAAAAACAAAGTGTGAGAGTGTTGGGTTGCAGAGGTCTTTGGGCAGAAGAGGCTGGGAAAGAGGGGGCAGGGTTGGCCTGCACCCTCCAGCCCAGGACCACATCTTACATGCCCTCCTCAGGAGTGGCCAGTTCCAGCTTCATCTCACACGGGGCCAACGCATGAGATGAGGTCAAACCAGCCCRTGGTAACACCTCCATGCCACCAACAGCTCATTGTGTATTGTCCCCCTCTCACAGGATGAATCCMACCAGCTGATCAATACAGTTTCATTTCTGAAGGTTAGAATCCTACCAACTAACAATAAGATCTTCTTCTACAGTATCTTGTTGATGCACAACAGCAGACCAAACATGGCAGGGCCCTTAGACACATCTTTAGTCCCTGACACAYGGCACCATGTGGTCCACAGTGGGAACACGTAGATATTTCACTACACGAACAATAATGTGATGGAACATACTGTCCATATAAGATTATGTTACAGATATGAAACAAGGCATATAACAGAGTATACATAAAAATGTAATGCTAAAGACACAAAGCAATACTAATTTATTTTTTAACTCATTCCACCCTTATGCCCATTCAGTAAATGGATTTTAGTTGGTGGGTTTTTTAASATGTTTAGTGAGTGTCTGGATTTTTTTGTAGCTGTGCATGGACAGAGCTAGACTGGTCACTTAAGTTTATACAACAAAACTTACYAAAATTTTTACATTTATGCCCATGTTAGTATTTCTTACTAAAAGCAAGAAATCAATTGCTGCCTGATTTTGCAGCAATTCCTGTCTAATGCTGTCAAATGCCTGTCTAATGTTATTTGCATCAATTAATAAATTAGATATAACTATGCTGGTAGAATTACTTAACTTTGCTAACCAGCAGCCAAGCTTTAGWCTTGTGAGAGCTTTTGCGCTAGCAGCCCCAGCTTTTTCAGCTGGTTTTTAGACTGTGCCTTAGAAGTCTGCAGAATTTTACTTCAGTACTTTAATATTTCCACAGGACTTTTGGCCCCCCATGGCTCAGGTGCAATATCTGTACAAGGTTTTATTTATTGTAATAATCTATTTTACAGCTCCTAAATTCACTTTGGTTACTTTACTGAAGGAGATATGGCCTGCGGCTCCTTTTTTGATATATTATTATCATTTCAATTGCACAATGTTTTGAGGAAGCCAACAGAAACAGTAAGGATGACTCTGTTCTATTAGTATTATCCAATGACATCACAAACACAAAGGACTAAGGGTTTTTGCTAACTTAATTTTAAATTTTTTTAAGCTATGTTTACACAGTTTACTGTGCTATGACAACTGTATGACACTAATGACRCCTAACACACAAATACTGTTAAACTTTCACATGTAACTGGGTACTCTGATTTAAACTTTGACTTTTCATACACCACACGCAGAACAGCGTTTCTCAGATCAGTGACACGCTGCACTCTCTTGGTGCAGCCCTACACCTCCCTGACTGAGCCCTGTTTGCAGGTGCATCCCACACCCCTGGTGCAACACCCACTGATCTCAGAGCAAACTGCCCTGGTTCAGCTGCATGCTCCATTAGCCAGGAAAGTGCACAGATTCACACAAACAGCACCTCTTGGTGTAGCCACGTGCCCCACTGCCCAAGCCCTGTTTTTTAAAAACACAAAMAGCACATCTTGGCACAGCTAYRYGCCCCACTGCCCAAGCCCTGTTTTTCAAACATTCAAACAGCTCCTCTTGGTGAAGCTACACGCCTCACTGCCTAAGCCATGGTTTGTTTCGGTGATTTTTTTTCAAACACACACTAGGTCAACTCCATGCCAACAACCCCATGCTCTTACAGACCAGATTTATAAATTCAACTCTACTTCAGCTTGTTAGCAGACACACACACATGAACAGCATTTCTTGGTGCAGCTGTGTGCTTCACTGCCTCAAGCCCTGGTTTGCTTTGTTTTTGTTTGTTTTTACACCTAAAACAGTGTTAGTTACACATACACACTCAAAACACTGTCAAGCTTTTTTGTGCTTTTGAGCATCCCASCCTTGTTGCCAAGAATGTTACRTGTTTGTGAGGATGCCCATGCACAAAAACTCACAACACACTTAGAACTGCAAAGCAAATCAATTTTATTAGTTGCATTAGCAATAAATGCATACCARCCCCTGGATTCTGGAGAAGCCAAAGAGCAGCAGGAGGAGATGGAGCATGGCTTCTGAACCAAAATGGGTGGGACAGACAGTAGTGCACCTTCAGGGTGTTCCCTGGATGCAAATGGTGAGCATCATGGCATCTGCACCCTCCWGCCCAGGACCACACCTTMTATCTCCTCCTCAGGAGTGGCCAATTCTGACATCATCTCATGCTGGGCCAATGCTTGAGATGAGGTCAAACCAGCCCATGGTAACACCTCCATGCTGACAACAGCTTATTGTGTATTGTTTTCATAGGATGAATCCCACCAGGTGACCGATACATAGCTTCATTTCTGAAGGTTAGAATCCTACCAACAAACAATAAGATCTTTTTCTACAGTATCTTGTTGACGTGCACAACAGCGGACCAAATATGGCAGGGCCTTAGACACATCTTTGGTCCCTGACACACTCCCCTATTCCCCTGGGCACAGTGGGGGCCAGAGTCTACCCCAGTTCCAGCTCAGGGCTGCTCCAGGCTGACGTGCTCCACCGGGCAGGGGAGGTGACCCCACGGGAGTGGTTTCCAGCAGCACCAGGAGCTGGTGGGTCCAGTCCCCATCAGGGACAACATTGGTGGCCACCACATGCCTTGACAGCTCCTGCTGGCCCTGGAACCACCTCAGCTGCCCCTGGGCAGGGTAGAAATCCATCACGGAGCAGAGCAGCTGGCTGGGGCCAGGCTGGGAGCTCGAGGGCACCAGTGAGATGGACACACTGGGGGGCACTGGGAGAGAGCAGGGAAGGCTGGTGTGGCATTGAGAGGGACTGGGAATGGACAGGGAGGGAATGCTTGGAAAGAGAGAGGGTAGAGGGCTGTGGGGGTGGGAGAGCACAGAGAGAAAAGGTAAACATCTGGGAGGAATTGAGAATGGATTGGGAATGGACTGGCAGAGGTAATGGGAAGGATTGGGAGGGTCTGGGATGGATTGGGAGGACACTGGGAGAGACTGGGATGAAGTCAGAGAGCCCTGGGACACTGGGAGGGGGCAAAAGACTACAGGCATGGGTACAAAGAGGTCTGAGGACACTGGGGTTTTTCCCAGAGAAGTTTTGAGGGGCTCCAGGGTCATTCCCAGGGGAGGGGCCAAGGGGACACACTGCCCCACGCTCACCTCTGCAGTCCACACTGAACACCACAGTTGGACTAGGCACTGCCTGTCCATCTCAGCCCATTTTCACTCCATGTATTCCGAGTAAGGGCTCCAGTACCTGGCAATCTTTTCCCCATATGGGGCATCCCCCACAAACAGCTCGACATTGTGTTGAAGATTGTGTACTGGTTATAGATGAGCTTCTCTACGAACCTTGCTTGGTTGTTGCCATTAATGAAGTGACACTAGTGCTTTATCCGGAACTGGAACACCCCTGTGTGTGCAGGGACAGGACAAGGGGTGTCCCCCCAGCACCCCCAGCAAGCCAAGATGTCTGGGGGCCAACCCAGATCCCCAATCCACACCCCTGTGCCCCACGGCCACCATGGGACCCTCTTGCCCTCAAGTCCCACTTCCTCTTTTCATTCCTTCTCCCTATTTAGCCCCATCCTTTCCCATTGCACCACCCATTGCCAGCTGCCCCCACATTAGTTTGGGGGTCCCAGTCTCAGCTTTCCCCCCTTTCCCACCACTTTTCACACAATTCCTCAAATCCACAGCCCCCTCATGCTCAGTTTTGGGGTCCCAACCTCCACTTTTCCCCACTTCTCCACCCTCCCTCACCTTTCTCATCTTCTCCCAATCCTCAGCTCCTTTCCTGCACTTCCTTTGGGGATCTCACTTTCCCTCAACTCAGTTTGGGGGTCCCACCATATCCTTTTCCCCTTCTCCCCATTTCTCACTGTGTCCTGCCCCCCAAACCCCTCCACTCACATAAGAGCTCTGCTCCTGCAGCCASGGAGGCTCCAACATCACCAGTGYYMCCAGTACGGCCCCAGKGCTGCCACACGCCCCATGGCCAGTGCTGGGCAGGTGCTGACACCCCAAAGCAGCCACACTGTCTTGGGAGCACCAGTCTGGACCAGTGGGGTCAGCAGTGCTGCGTGCTCTGATTGGCTGAGGGCAGTTTGGGACCCTTTTCCTGAGGCTCCTCCTGGCAAGTGATGCACCATTCATTCATCGTGGTCTGATTGGCTGCAGATTGACTGAGGGCTTTTAGGGACACTGTAGCCCCGGGTAGGGGTTTTATGGGGGATCCTTGGGGTGCTGGGTAGGTGGGAACTCAGTTGTGCCCAAAAATGGGGCGTCCAGGTATGCTGGATTTCAGGTGTGTCCATGGTAAGAGGTGATGCTGACCCAATGCCAGGCACCCACCAAAGACATTCTATCCCTGCTCCCTGTAGCCATATAGGGGAGAAAACTGAACCAAGGGTTCCCGGGTTGACGTAAGGACCAGAAGAAATCCCTCACMMAACACCATCACGGGCAAAACTGGCTCTAATTAGAGACATTAACTGAACTGATTACACTGACAAAATTAGAGCAGGAGAATGAGAAGAAGAACCTTCAAAACACCTTCCCCCACGCCTCCCTCCTTCCCCCCAAGAGTGCAGGGAGTGTCAGGAATGGGAGCCATGGTCACTTCCTCCCCCTGGACTTCTCTCGCTACTCAGGGAGAGAAAGACTGAAAGAATGCAGCTTCTCCAAGCCAGGGGAGGGAAAAGGTTTTTGCCTGGGCCAATGAATCCAAGCTAGACAAGCAAAACCAAACCACACTGTGCCATGGAACACCTGGGCCATGAGGCTTTGAAAATGCCTTCCAAAAAGCCTAAAGCTCCCTCCCTCTCCAGCACCAAATGCAGGCGGTCCCGGGCCTTACAGACAGAACAACCATTTTTGGGCATAAAGAAGAGGATAATGGAATAGACTATCATCATAAATCACTCCAGTGGGTCACTGCCACAGGGTGGCCCCTCTGTCCATGGGTCTCCCATGGGGTCAGTGCCTCCTCTAAGGCATCACCCTGCTCTGGCAGGGGCTCCTCCAGGGGCTGCAGGTAGATCTCTGCATCTCCATGAAACACTGCATCCCCATGAATTTCTGCATCCAGCACCTCTGT